TTTATGGTACATTACATATTTAATCTTGATGTTCCCCCCTTTGGTTAAGGAAAATTGGACGGTAAAGGGGTGACTCGTTATCACCGTATGATTAAAAGATATGAAAACAAAATTTAATGCGAATCATAAACTACAATGGAACTATGTGGAAAATATGTAATGATTCAGAAAAATGTAAAGTTTCGATTAATGTAATTAAGAACAATTAACTTTAATTGATTATAATTAAGCCTACGACTTCCCCTAATCAGTTTAGTTTAGACCATATCTTTTAATTTTGCATGTACTCAAGCACAAGATTCGAGACATGGACTCACAATATGATAAAAAGACATGAAAACAAAATTTAATGGGAATCATAAACTACAATGGAACTGTGGAAAATATGCAGTAACTGAAAAAAATTTAAAGTTTCTATTAATGTAATTGAGAACAATTAACTTTAATTAATTATAATTAAGCCCACGAGTTTCCCTAATCATTTTAGTTTAGACACAATCTTTTAATTTTTAGTGCACTCAGGCACGAGATTCAAGACATGGACTCACCAAATCCGGTATTAGATGTCCTTATGCTTGTGCAATATTACTGGTTAATTTAGAGATATCCCAGGGAATTGGGAAGCACAATGCATTGATTGCCACATTATGCGCGCATTCGAGGCCTAATCGTATTTGAGATTTGAGAGACGGACTCTCCGGGCCCACAAATTATTATTTAAGTGTTAATTATGTGTTAATTCTGTGTATTTTATTATTATTAGCTGAACCCACAAATTTCGTGAAATTCTAGTACAAAAAAAAGCTCATTTTCCGTATCCAAACTGTACAAAATTGATTTAGGGTTTTGAGGATAAGCCCAAAACGCATAATGTAACATTTTGAATATAATTTGGGATCCAAAAGGAGGTCAGATCCAGCCAGCCCTGTGCCATGTGACAAAAGGTGCGTTTTACCCCTTTTAGGTCCTTTATTCCTTACACCACTCTTTCTAGTATGTTCCCCCTTCTTCAAAGAGGTAATTCCCTCTTAGGAAATGTGCTTGGCCTAATTTTGCCTATATAAGATGGCTTATATATATACATAATGTTGATCAATTCAAATTGGAAGCTGGTGATTGCTTTCTTTAAGGTTAGGATTGTTTTAAGGCCATTGGATCAAGATTAGGTTTATGTTTGATTAGAACCTAACTGGTCATCTTTTTGTCCAAGGTATATACAAGTGTTAGAGAGAGGAAAGAGAAGACAATCTTCCCCTTATGCTCTCTCACAACCAAGCCTCTCTTTCTCTCCGCTTCTCTTTTTTTTCTTCATCTTCTTCCTTGGAAACACATAAAACCTTAACCCTTGTTTCACCATTGTTGGACCTTGGGTGATTTGGTGAGCTAGAAACCATAAGCAAACACTTAGAGAGTTATTGTGAGTTTGGAAACACCTTTTGGTGTTCGTTTTGAAGATCAAAGTTGGAAGACTCGATGTGTTCTTGGTGTGCTTGAAGCCATCTTCTCATTCCTACCTCCTTTCTCCATCTTTGCTCTGGTTAAACTTGGATTCAAGGTAGGGGTCTTCTCACATCTATATTTCAAAGCATGCTAGGGTTATTTGATAGGAATCTCATGTTTTAGTTTTAATTTTGTGCTTGTTATCCATGATTCATGACTAGTTGTTTAAATGTAGCATGAATGTATCTCCTTCTCCTTCTTTTGAGGAGCCCTCGCATGAGTTCTTGAACTTGTATGTTAACATGTTATTTTTTACTTACCCAAAAAAAAAAAAAAAAAGTTATTTTCACCATTTTTGAGCAAGAAAGTAATCCAAGCCATGAAACCTTTAAAAGTGTTATCCTTGCATGTTTTCATAAGTTTTGGAGTATAATATTGGTATGCTTTCTTTGAAATCAAGCAAATGATTACTTAATATATTTAGGGTTTTCATGTCAAACATAAAAAGTGTAATCTATGGTATACTATAAGCCTAATGGAGTAAAAAGCTTGCTATTTGGAACACTTTGATGTTTTAATAATTATTTAAAGTGTTGAGAAATTGGGAAAAGGGATGTAGTCAAATCTATCATGGGTTAAAATGAGTTAGTCTAAAAGATGGTGTGATTCAGAGTTGATTTACTATTTTCCCCATAATTTTTACCCTTGTTTTGATCACTAGTTTCTTAAAAATATAGGTTTCCATGACAATGTTATTATTTTAGTTGTGTTTATAAGTTATTTGAATTATCTAATGAATTTTGGGGCTTATAAGGGCAAAAAGGTAATTTTGGCTCTTTAGGAGTAAAATAGTAATTTGGGAATATTTTGGATTATTTGATTGAAATTGCCACGTAGAAAATTAACTTAGGATTAATGAGGGGTACATTGGTAATCTCATTCCATAAGGACCTTTCGGTAATTAACGCCTTAGGGGCAATTTGGTAAATTGCGCCTTGGGGGTATTATTGGTCCTTTCACACTAAGAGTGTATTACTATTATAGCCCTAGGGTGAAATTAGTAAAATTGGCTAGAAAGAGTGTTGTTGACCAAAAAAAATGGCCAAGTGCTGGAAATTACTCTATGGAAAAGTGGAAATCAAGTTCAATAATAAACAACCGGTGTTGCTAGTTACTGTACTTAGTTGTTTTTTGAGCGTGTCCCCCGTATTATTGATTTTACAAGCTTCGCCTAGGTTATAGGCTTATAGCCTGTATTGTGGTTCAATACACTTCACGGAGATGGTGGGTCCAACCATCCACGGGTTAACGCCCGAACACTGCGCTATTTAGAGGAGTAGTAGCCTTCGGTGGTTAAGGATGAAGTTTATGTCTGACACAGCTCAGAGGGAGCTTAGGGGTGTGATCAGAGCAGGACCTAGTACATATTGATTTACAGCTCAAGCACAGAATGTGTTGACGAGACTGGATTGGTGCCTTGTTGGCAAGTATTGATTTTTGGATAATTTCTTTATTTAATTATACCGTGTGAGTAAATTAAATAGAATGGACTCACTGAGTTTACGTAATAGAATCCGAAAATCAGATATGTGCATAGCATTATTGTCCTATCACTTCACCCGCATGTTTATTTATATAGATATAGATATGAGACTACTGTTGGGTAAGTGTCATTACTCACCCCCCTGCATGTCAAGTACTGATGGACGCCTTCAGCCATGAGCTGACTGAAGCTGCTATTTTGTAGCGTAAGGTTTAGACCATAGCTTAATTGGGCCTGCAAGCCTTTTTTTTTTTTTTTTTTGGAATTAATGTAATTAATTTATGGTCTATAAACTTAATGCTTTACTTATTTCCTACTATGCATGTATTCAATTTGCATGGGCTTGCATGCCGCATGAGATGGAGTGTTACATTCGAGAGAATCTTTTATTTTCAAAAACCCTCAACATTATTTTTATTGACAAAAAATGAATCGGACACATTCCCAAGGTAAGTCGGATTGACCCTAAAACAGATGCTCTATTCTGTTACCTAAAGATAAGTGTAATAGAAAGGAGTTTTCTTTTCAAAACCTCACACTTAGGTTAATAAGCTCCTGCCTAATTAATCTTCGAAAATTGGGGCACGACAATATATGATGTAATTACCTAACGGAAGGGTTAGGGGTATTGGGTTGAATATTCATGACAGTTGGCTAGCGGGAGTTTGAATTGTGTGAAAGCTTGACACCGGTTAGAGCCTGAGAATGTGCAGTGTAGGATGGAAGGCTAGCAACCTCCTGGTGTTGCTCCTGGACAAGAAGGGGGAACAGGCGTGAATAAACTGTGTGTTGTGGATGTATTTACATTCAGGCCTCGTTTGGGGAGTGGCTATTTTAGCCAAAAAACCAAAAAGCCAACTAAAACTAATCACATCACCTCTCTACTTTTCTGCACATCTTTTCGTAAAAAGTTAAAAAGTTACTAAAATAGCCTGTTCCCAAACGAGGCCTCAGATTACGTTATCTCGAGCTAAATCCAGATATAGAAAACAAGTGACATCAATTTAGTATTTACACTAAATTGATGTTAATTATTTTACACACCTGGCATAGCATGTATATATGCAGTGTTGAGATATCAGTGAGCATGTTGTTCTCTTTGCTCACCCACTACATTTTCAGGTATGAATCGTGGACCAGTGCCTTGATTCCAGCGGGGAAATCCTCATCTTCTGGACTGCAGATTAATAGACCTAGGTTTAATTGGGGCTATGGCCTTTTCGATTAGTTTAATGTAATTAATCCTGAGTCTACAAATCTAACAATTATTTAATGAAATTTAATACTTTCAATATGTAAATTCTATAATCTTCTGAGAAGAGTAGCCCTGTGAATTGGGTCAAGTAAGAAGAAATGAAAAAAGTTACTACTAAAAGGCACACTAAGGTTAATTAGTTCCGTCTTAAATTAATCCTGTGCAAATGGGGCACGGCATTCAAGAATTGTTCAAAGTTAAAGATGCCTTCGGTGAGAAGATAATTTGAACCATGTTGTCTCCATCTTGACCAAAAATGCATATGCACTTGTTACCAGAGACTTGGCTGCACTAGCATGCTTCTTTTTCTCCACTGCCTTTTTTTTTTTTTTCCTTTCAAATTCTCACGCAAGATACCCAGCTGACCAAATACTCAAAAACAAAAATGAAAGTTCAAATATTATAAGATTTTTTTTTTTTTTTAATTAGCACTGGGATGCCTGGATCAAAGCCCGAGTAATAGTAATCCCTAGGGGTGCACAGCCCTTGGCAAGGAGTTTTCTACAAGTAAATCATGGTTAATTCAAGGGATTTCCTCCAGTCCGATGGCCCCAAGGAATTGTAAGTACCTAAGAGGTTTCAATCCTGGAACATTGGATGGAGCACACGCCCAAGACCCAAGGTCTTGCCACCAAGCCAACCACTTGGGGTTAAATATTATAAGATGTTTTAATAGCTAACAAGGTTGCATATCAACATAAGAAAGAGTTGAAATGTAGGCACCTGAGGAGAAACCACAAATCCAACATAGTACAAGGGTACCTTTTGTTTTAGGAGCACAATATTTTCTTCTCCAGCATCTTTCAGTTGAGGAAGGGTAACAATGCCTCTCTTCAATTGTTCTAACTCTTCCTTCAAACATCGAATCTCATTTTGGTACTTCTTGATGAGTGATTTCTCATCAATAATCTGTGAATTCACAATCTTAGTTCCAACAAATGCCAACAAAGACAATTGCAATAATGCAGACAACCCACAAGCTCATACCTTATTTTGTGCCGCTTGAATTTCAATATGCTTTGCACGGTGAGCAAACTTTAAAGTGTTATGTGTCTCTTCTGCACTGCTTGATGATGGGGTAACAGTACATATGAGCTGTAATTTCAGAAAGGATAGATTACTAATAAACCCACTGAAACTTAGATAAATGTACATCCAATTGTTCACCCAAACATATGTTCAAGGAAATATATATCTAATTTTTATATATGAATAAATGCATGCTTGTACCAGGTTACCCAGCTTTGTTGTGAAGAAGCTGATTCTTGTGAATCAGCCTCCCCACACATGCACACATAGAGATCTGAGAAATCTTACGGATACTCGTCCATGACCACTTAATGAAGATTGAAGAAGCCTAGTCAATTTAGAGTCCCTATATGGTATATGAGTAGCCCTCTCATCTGTTAACTTTGATATAACCTGCGAAAATAACAATTTCACATTTTCCACAATGATTCCAATCCATGTAATAAAGACGAGTATAATAACAGTCTACGCAGAACCATCAGATATCAAACAGTTCGGCCACTGCAACAGCATTCAATGACAAAGAAGACAGAAGTAAGTTATCAACATATAAAGAAAAACCAACTAGATTACAGCATTTGTGATTTGGACAAGATCAGGTACTCGGCAATGGGAAAAAAAGTGTAAGAATGGAGAGACAGTAAGAGTTTTGTTATATCCCATTTATGTAGATTGTCCAACAGGCTATTGCAATGATTGGGGAAGGAAACCTTGAAATCAATCATTTTCCACGAAAAACCTGAATACAACATCCCAATACAAAATAGTTTCGAAAATTTTAAACTACACCATTGACAAATGAAGTCTTATACTTTGATGGTAGCTAAACTTGAATGATATTATTGAGAAATTAATTATTTGAGCAAGAAGTTCCCAACCTTGTTTGTGGTCACAACTTTCTTACATCTCATCTTCACCAAAGATTGAGGCTTCCTCCTTACATCTTGGTTCGACCACCTCTTCACTAAATAGCACTTTATGATGACATCCACCATCAAAGTTCCTTCATTCCAACATTAGTTGAATAACCGACATGGACATAATCATGAAATGGCTGTCCAATTGTAAAGTCGCCTTGGCATTAATGTCCAAAATTTGAAATGTTCTTCCTTTGTTGCTTCTCAACCAACAAAGGTTGCACGTAATTATATGTCAAAAATGCTCTTTGAGCTTCTTTCTCATTTTCTTCTACTATCTAACCTTTTCTTCGCCTCTTCTTGTCTACGAACTTTTAGTTGTTTCCACAAATCAAAGGCACGACCTTTTTGAGACCACCAACTTACCTCTTTCCCTTCGGCACATTCATAATAGTTGAAAAGCTCTCAATTGTGTTCAACCATTCCACAAATACATCTGGATTATAGCTCCCAAAAAATCGGGAAGTACAAAATCCTTGACAGTGTCCTAACCCATGTGAATATGCTCTACGCCTATGTGCAACATCAAGAGAATCATCAAATTGAATTAGATGATCCTTGGAACCATTTCTGCCTTCGGAAAGAATTTGTAATTGTTGCACTAGACCAACCGAGATAGAAACTTGTTCACTCAACTCTTCAATCTCATTCCTTTCATTTTGGTTTCCATTGTTCCTCACAATTGATAGATTCATCTCGTTTTCTTCACCCAAATTCACAGTAAACACCCTATCTTGGCCACTTCGTCTATGCCTACCTTTGTTAGCCATAGCAAATGCAAAGCAAAAGAAATAGCACACACAATTGAACAAACCACCAGAACTGTTTCAAATAGTACAAGCTCAGAATCACAGACAAGACTGACTCTCAAAGCTAGCTCAACAATCAGCAACCATATCAAATCCGCTTGCAACTTGAAGAAAAGCTGAACCACAAAATCGAACAAAATTTGAAGATCAAAACTCCACTTGGAATTTGCAATCAAAGTCGGATCACAGATTTGAAGGTTCAAGTCCATTTAGAGTCCTAAGTCACAATGCAATTAGCAAAGTCGAAGCTAGATCTCAATTCCAATTGTGAAATTGAGCTTTGATCAACAAATGAAGATCCAGAAAAAATGCAAAGCAGACCACTAGTCCTCTATGCCAATTGAGACAGTGAGTCAAAATTGATCACCAAACTCAAGTCTCAAAGTTGTTTCAAAGTCAACCAGGCCACATTCCAGATCAAAGATCCAAGAGTTACTGATCAGAAATGAAATCAAAAAATCTGGACTTGAAACAGAGATTGAAGATGAATTTGAAGATTGAGGTATGCTAGAGTCAACTAAATCCCAAAATTGAAGAACTAGATCTAAGAATTTGTCAAAATTGAATCCAGACTCACAGTCTAAGTGGTGAAATCGTAGTTCAATCCAAGCTTCGTAGTCAAACTCTGATAGAAATCCAAGTCGCAATAGTCAAATCACAATTGCGACCAAAATGAAGAACTAGATTTGCAGCTATATCCAAGTTGGAATTGAGTTGTGAGCACAGTCAAATCGCGATTGTGACCAAATTGAAGAACTAGATTTGCAGCTATATCCAAGTTGGAATTGAGCTACGAGCACAGAAGTCAATTGTGAACTGATTTAGGGCTTCGGATCGAAGTTGGATCGCAACTAGCCTTTGGATCAAAGTTGGATCTTAGCTAGGACTTCAGATCAAAATCAGGGATTCGGGGTCGGATCTATGGATTCGGATTCGAGTTCAGATCTCCACAGAGACAATTGGATCAATATCGCATCTTAGATCATTATTGTGAAATTGAATCAAATGTCAACATTGGAGCTAGATCGAAATCACGCTGCAATCAAGTCACAATCAAAGTCAAACATTAATCTCGAAGATCCTTATATCGAAGTACTGCTGAGACACGTTTGTCGAAGTCAGAATTGTACGTGGTGTTTGACACGAACTTAGATACACATAGTCGATGTGTAATCGATTATTACGAACAACATTAAGATTCAATCGCATGCAACGAAAAATCAAAGGGTTGCAAACTCAGATCGTGATGCCAAATAAAGGTCAGACAGTTGAACTCATTGAAATGCAATCACCACTCAGTAATGAATTAGGGCTACTAGAACTAGGTAATGCTCTTCCAATTCAAGCAGTTAATACATGAAACAAAAACATAGATTTAAGCCCTAAGTTCTGACACCAAAATGATGCAACCAAATAGTGAATGGATTTCATTAGAGAGAGAAAATCTCTAAACAGAGATGCCAGAGCACTAGCTCTGAAAATACAATGTCAAAATATCGTAACTGATTTTCCAGGACCCGAACTACCTATTTATAGGCCAAAAGACCCAACTAACTCTTATGGTGCGAAAAACATAACTACAACACTAAACCTTACAACATCAAGAATCTAACAAAATTATACATAGGTCATCCTAATCATTTATATAAAAAAAATCTTTAAACGAAAAAGAAAGATGTAGGTGTTACTACATTTCTTTAACCATAAAACACGGGTGACTTTGGTAAACAAACAACTCCCTAGACTTGTTTTTCCGTTACATCATTAATCCAAACCAAACCGAGCCCTTAAGTCTCATCAAATGGGGTCGGCTACATGAATCTTTCTTTTCTACTCGACTCTATCCAAGGCCATTTCATTAGTCAAATTAAAGAAGTTCAAATCTTTATTTACTATACTAGCCCACGTCAATCAAAGTATGCCCCTTCCCCTAACGATTCCATATACCATCACCGTATCACATCTCTTCACTACTACCTTTGTCAGTCTCAGTTATATATGACCAAACTATCTCAATCTATTGTCTCTCAACTTATCTTCTATCGGTACTATTCTTACCCATTTTCAAATATACTCATTATTAACTCTGTCTTTTCTAGTCTTTCTATACATTCACCTTAACATCCTCATCACAATAACACTCATCTTATCTACATGTTATTTCTTAGTTGCCCAACATTCCGTCCCATACAAAATCACTCATCTAATAGCCGTTCTATAGAAATTCTCATTTAGTCTAGTGGGTACTCGTTTATCTCACAGTACCCCAGACGCACTCCTCCACTTAAGCCACCCCGCCATAATTCTATGAACCATATCTGCTCTAATTTCCTCAGCTGTTGTGATAATTGATCTTAAATAACAAAAATGTTCACTCTTAGGTAGTTTTTGATTTTCAATCTTCACTTCTCCTCTGCTTCCATTGTTATTGCTACTAAAAGTACACTCCATGTACTCTATCTTAGTTCGGGTTATCCTAACTCCTTTGGATTCAAATGTTTCTCTCCAAGTCTCCAACTTGGTGCTAACTCATTCTCTAGTCTCATCCACTAACACAATATCATCTGTAAAAAGCATACACCATGACACATCATCCTGAATATTTCTCGTCAACTCATCCATAACTAAAGCAAAAAAATAAGGACTTAAGTTTGATCCTTGGTATAACTCTATAGTAATTGAAAATTTACTTGTCTTTCCAATAGGCAATCTAGTAGTGGTCACCATACCTTCATACATATCCCTAATCACATCAATATAATCTTTTATCACCCCTTTCCTTTCTAACATACACCAGATTATATCTCAAGGCACTCTATTATATACTTTCTCAAGATCGATAAAAATCATATGAATGTCTCTTTTCTCTTTCTCTATACTTTTCTTTAACTTTCCTCATAGATTGCTTCCATTGTTGATCTACCAGGCATAAACCCAAATTGATTCTCTAACACCTCGGTTATATCTCGCAATCAACGTTCTATCACTGTCTCCCATACTTTCATTATATGACACATTTGTTTGATTTTTCTGTAGTTGTTGTAGTTTTGGACATCCCCTTTATTCTTATAGATTGGCACTAAAATACTCTTCCCCCCACTCCTTACGCAACCCTTCCTTCTTATGCAAACATTTCCAAGCTTCAATAGGAATATCATCAAGCCCTAAAGCCTTATTCGATTTAATCCTCTTAATTGCAATCTCCACTTAAAAGTTCATAATCATGCGATAGAACCTGTAGTCCTAATTTTCCTTATTACTACCTACTTCCTCGCCTTTTGACCTACCTCCATGTTCCTCATTTAACTTCTCAAAATAGTTCTTCCACCTCTCCTTAATCTCTTCATCTTTCACCAATACCTTAAAGTCATCACTCTTGACGTACTTAACCTAATTAAAATCTCATATTTTTCTCTCTCTTATCTTAACAAGTTTGTATATCCTCTGCTCCCCCTCCTTACTATCTAGTCTAGTGTATAAGTCGTCATAGGATTTCAACTTAGTCTATTACTGCTTTTTTGACCTTCTTATCAACCAATCTGTAACTCTTAAGGTTTTCTTCAGTTCTGTCACTCAGTCATTTTTTAAAGTACTTTTTTTTCGTCTTTACTACCACTTGAACTTCCTCCCTCCACCACCAAGTTTCAATAGAGTTGGGTCTCTTTCCTTTCAACTTTCCAAGAAATTCCCTCGATATTCTCCGCATACAATTGGCCATCGAGTTCCACAGTGTTAACATCATCTTCCAAGTCCCAAATACCTTTTTTATCCATTATATTCTTAAATATTTCTAGTTTATCCCTTTTTAGGTCCCACCATCTCGTCCTACGAAGCCCACTATCCTTGCTAGCTTGGTATTGCCCTTCAAAGCTCCATTACATCATTAATCATGCAATGTAAATAACACACCAATATAGCACCTTCTTTCCTTAGTAAGTTTAGGCTTCCCAACCTGTGTATTTTCTCTCAAATTATGTGCATCATCATGCTTCACAACAATAGAAATCGTTGAAAAATATACCCCTAAAGATCTACAAAGCTCTAAAACTCCTAACTAGATGGGTAAAGATATGGAAAATAATCTACAGAAATCAGGTGTCCAATAAGGGCCAACTTTAGCAATAGAGAAAAGTATTAGTCCAAAATAACACTTTTTTGTCTTGTAATATTTATTTTTTCCTCTCACAAAAACATCGTATGATAGTAATCATGATTGTTAGAATCGTACGACGGACAATTCAATTCATAGATTTGATACGAATTTCAACCAAAACGATTTGAATCGTTCTATTGAATCGACGATTGAGTGAATCATGCAATTCAATTTGCAATTCACTACAATCTACAACGATTCACTGTGATTCCACTATGCTTTTATTTTTATTTACATGATGCATGAAACGACATTGTTTTCGCTTCTCTATCAAGAAATTAAAAAACTAAAAATAAATAAAATAAATAAGAGAGAAAGATTAATTAACTACATTGATATACATAGTTTTATATGTATATAATACATATACAATTTAGTTGTATTGCTATATACTTCATTTCAAAACTGTATGCATTTTTATAAATATATAGACATATAAAGGTATATATTGGATTAAATAAAGTGCATCTTGTGATCCACAATTCACGATTTTAGCAAACTCATTGGCAATTTCATAACAATGATAGTAACAAGCAATGTCTGCAGGAAGACAGATTTGTTAGATGGCAATGAAATACAATTTGACAAGCCAAACAAGACATTTGTAGACCAAACTATTATGCTGATAAAATAAAAATGGTTGAGGCCTCACAGTTCCAAGAGTTAGTAGACTTTTATTAATATAGGATCCTTCCTTTCGACGCACACCGGTAGTTTCAGCCTTGGAGCTCTCAGAACCTGCCAGATCGATGAGGTTCTGCATAAGTAAAACACAGAGAGGCCAAATTAAGAAAACAATGTTGGCATCACATAAAAGCCTAAAGCAGTTACTTATCCATAAGGAAATAAAATCCTAAAGCAGTTGGCACAAAATAATTCTAAAATTAAAAGCCACAGAAATATACCAGTTGTGACAAGTTTACCGCTCCACCTTCACAATTATCACCACAAGGGCTACTCTCTATTGTCTGTCAAATATGTAACAAAAGAAAAATTGATCAGCAGAGAAAATAATTATAAAAAATAAAAAAGCAAAAAAGCAAATAGTATTTGACACAGGATAAGAATATTCAATCAAGACTTCTGCCTAGTTTGATCCAAGCTAAATTTTCTCAAGACCTCATTTCAACATTCTACATTGAAGAACTTGCACGCAAAAAAACCTTTGTGGGACCAATTTTATGACATATTGAATTTCCTAACCTAGAAAAAATGGTTTTCAAGAAAAAAGAAATATGGATTTTGTGACAAATTTGTTAATCAAAATAGAAAGTACTCTTCTTAACCCTATTAAATGAGACATGCATTGAACAATTACACTTCATCCCCAACAAGTGAGATATTCTTCTAAATGGGCCACTGAATTCTTGAAAGTTAGCCGAACTAAGTGATAAATGTCCAAGTCACTCGAGAATGAGTAAGATCAAATCATTATATGAATAAATTTGGATAAAATAAAAGTAGAATAAACATATACTTTCATATGCTCATGTGTGTGTCTGACCATTGCTTGTGTCATTAAGAAATATTTACGTGCATATTTTTTAACAAATTTAACTTAAACATACCATATAATCTGAAAGCAATAATATAAGTTAGTTAATAGCTAGAAGAAAAGCGCTGAAACGTAATGATCAATAAATATATCAAAAAATAATAAATAAATAAATAAAAGGAAGAAGTTATACAAAACAACATACCAGTGTAAATATTGTATGGCTTCTGCTACTGAGTAAATTGAAATTTGTGGAACCGACATGTCTGTGCTCTGTTACCATCAACTAAAATCTTATCATAAAGTTTAAAAAGAACTTAAGTAATGGTAATAAAAAAATTACTGCAATCACACCCACAACTAAAAATACTAGCAATGTAAAGAACATTTAATCAAAAAAATAACTCCTCAAAATAATTAAAATATTTTCTTTTTGTAGTTTACAGCATGCTAAATCAATCCTCAAAAATAGTTTATTATGAGACAAGCATTCAAAGCACACTATTTCAGAGAGTGAATAAAAGTGCTTTACATATATTTATATATATATATATAAATCAACCAGCTTCACTTGGATCCATTTTTTCCCCTCTAGGAAAGAAGAAAAGTTCTTTCTTTTTCCATTTTCTGGATCAAAAAGTTCAAGAACTGCATGGACCAATAGTTTACTTCAAAATATGTTTAGCTAGAGTTGGACGAGTGGCAAGAAATGAAGGTAAATTAAGATATAGATGAACAGAGATGGCCAGATATGCACAAAATAAAGTTAAATAGGCTTCGGGACATCTTCAACAAGCTACTAAGACCAGCAGAAAAGCAAAAAAGGTGTGAGATGACGTGGTAACATTACAATGACTTGGGTTGAACTTTATATGTAACGTTCAAACTTGAGTCAAATAGTAGTAATTCAGTCGGAAATACATCGAGTCAAGCTGGACTGAACCTTGCCCTTGATCCCCTCCAAACTTGGAGTTAAATAATTTATGCACAATACAGTGACATGTTTCATCCTTATAGTAGTAAATTCAATAGAATATATTCGAAAGGTTATTTTGCATTGTTCATTTTCCTTGTCCCATTGTTGATGTCGTGTTTGGAATGACCGTAGGAATCCAAATCCATACTGACCCATACTCTTCCTTGTCTGACAAATCATAACTCTTAGTTCTTCACTATAACAACAAACACAGACACAGGGCAAGGGTAGAGATAATCTTGGAATAGTTACCAAGAATGTTTAGATTATGGTCATTTTAGCCATGAAAGACTATGCAATCTTCCAACTGACTGAGACGTTGTACTCATTCACTACCATTATCACCTTAGAATCTCGGATCTCTAGGATTATCTTCGGTGGTGTAACAAGGCCTATGAAAATGCATAATCTATTGACTCAACAACCAAAAGGCTGTCTTGCATGGCAACAACAGCATAATGCATGCTTACTTATACCAACATATGGAAATGCTTCCACATGGATGAGAAAAAATATATATATATATTTAACAAAACAACATAATGTTTACCTTCTCCAGCTGCAATAAGAGAAAGGGCATGAGCAGGAGATAATACGACTTCCTCCTTTATTCCTTCAACAAAAGTACCCTACAGCCAATAATAAAGCAACAAATGCAGTAAGTGGACATGTTGAATAATGAAGCTTACTCTATATAGCCAGCAACGTTAACCAAAGAACAACTAAAATCCCCCACAAAAGATTCTATCATATTCTACACGCAGATTTTATCTAATATGTTTTAGTGCCTGTTTGGTTGAGCTTAATTTTAGCTTAACTCAGCTTTTAGATTATTTTTTAGCTGTTTTGGTGTGTTTGGTAGAGCTTAAAAACACTTTTTGTAGCTTAAATTAAGCCAAAAAAGTGATTTTTGGCTGAGTGGCAGAACGGGTGCTTTTCGGATTCAACTTAAGGGGAAAGCTAAAAATTAAGGGGCAAAATTACGTAAATGCCCCTTGTCAATCTCAATTACTACCAAAAACCCAACTATATAAACCCCATATTCTCAAACACTGTTCACTTGTGAGAGAGAGAGGAGAGACGATTTCCAGTAGGAGATTTTCAACAAACAATCCAGAGCTCTCTCTCTCTCTCAAACTAGAGGTGGTGGCTAGGGCACGATTTGCTCTGTTGCCGCCTCCCGTCACCACAGCCATCGATGGCGTGATCGCGATCTGAAAACCTAACCACGATCGCCATCACCGCCTCTTCTTTTTCTCTTCACCATGCCCGCCTCCTTTTCTCTTCGCGATCGACCTTCCGTAATCTTGCCGGCTTTGCGAGATAGCCTGACGGTGACGAAACACAGCTCACCGCCGCCATCACGATAGCGATCTACGATGTGAAACCCTAGCCACCGGCGGCGGTAGCTAGGGTTTGTAATGAAAAAAAATAATAAATTAAAAAAATAACAATTGTTATATTATTAATTATAATGGAAAAAAAATTAATAAAAACAGAATCACAATTTTTTTCAAAAATTAAAATTGAAGAAAAAAATGAAATACAAAATGAAATAACTTATATTAAATGAAATTAAAAAAATGAATATTATAACTTCTATTAAATAACTAATTGAAATTAATATAAAGAAAAATAATATGTAATGACATCACAACATTACTATAAATACATGGATATTAATTGATATTAATTGTAATGAATTAATAAATTAAGCAAAATAAACAAAAAGAAAGAAGAAAAGAGAGAGAGAGAGAGAAGAAGAAAATAAGGAGAAAAAGAAAAAAAAATGAACAAAAAAAAGAAAAAAAAGTATTGATACTAATAATAAAAAAAATGAAATAATTAATGAAATAAGGAGGTTTTCAGTGTTTTTTTAATAAAAATAATAATAATAATAATTAAGCATTTTAGCCATTAATGAAATAAATTTTATATTAATTGATACTAATTAATAATTTTAGTATTAATGGATGCTAATTAAGCCACTAATTGACACTAAATAATTTATAATGAAATAATGAAATAATTTTATACTAATTGATACTATTAATGAAAATAATAATTTTTGTAATACTAATTATATTAACTTTCATTAATGAAATAACTTTTTTAAAATTAAAACTGAAAAAAATGACAAAATAATCATTTTTCTATCATATAAGCGCAAAAAAGGCAATTACATAGCAAAAAGTTATTTTACAACTTATCAACCAAATACTATTCTACTGCTTAAATCCATAATCCTATAACTGCACTAAACAGGTTAATAGGTTATGTTCACAACTATAAGCTATAATCTGTTAAGTTATAAACTATAATAACTTTTCCACAGCTCTACGAAACGGGGCCTTAGTCCATTTGGTGGCTTAGGCTCTTTTGATGTACAGTTTGTTCAATGTTAGTTCTAAATTAGGATTATCCTACCATAAACATGCAGACATTCTTATTTTCACAATGAATAAAGAACAACTCAGCAACATCTAATCGATTAGTTAGCACTCAAAGGTTTTGATGCTCCCAATTTCAAACAATTTATTCTCACATGGCCTGAGTTCCAATGTAAGTTGATGACAAATTTTGAAAGCAACCTAGTTACAGTTAAAATGAAGAATGGAAGAATATCATCATTGTCAATGACTTTTTTTTTTTTTTTTTTCTCTTTTTTTCGAAACGCAATGAAAAATATTATTAAGCACAGTGTTTTTAAAAGCTCAAGGCGCACTAAGGCGCTGAAGGTCTCTCAGGGACTAGGCGCAAGGTGAGGCACGGGCTGTATTGAAACAAGACGCACAGTTTTAGTAAAAAATAGAAAAATTAACATAGACTAATCATTCATAGTACTACTAAGACAACTTTTTTTAAAATAAAAAGTAATCAAGATTCAAGACAAATTATAGAATAATTCTCAAAACCATGAAAGTGCATATTACATAGCATTCTAATTTTCAAAGATAAAATAATTCACATTCGATAAAATAAAATAAAATAAAAATAAAAATAAAAATAAAAATAAAAAAACAGAAACACTAAACATCCAAAACATAAATGCCGAACAAATACTAATATATGTCTTAACACTTCAAAACATCAATATCATAAGAAAGGGTAGGTTAGGTCAGTCAGTCAATCATCATCCTCAACATTAATGGCAAGCAAACTATCATCTTCTTCTCCATCAGTTGATTTATATCCCTCAACATCTTCCTCCTCTGTGTCATTTGAGCCCGCTTCCTCCTCATCTATTAATTGAAGTGGAGTTAATCTTTGATGATTGAGATATCATCGATTGTGCCTTTGAGCGTGAACTTGTTGCTCTACTTGCATGACTACTTTCTTCTACTCCAGAAGCTCTAGCAACAGTGGCCCACGTCAAGCCACCATCATCATCATCAAACACTGGCTCATTATCTTCATATGATTCTCCATCCATTCTCCCAAGCAACCACTTTCATCAATATTTTGCAAAGATATGGGATCAAGAGTATTGCGCATGTCATATCTAGATCTCAATGTTTTATTATATTTGAAAAACACTAAATCATTGAAACGTTGTTCCAATCTATTTCTTTTCTTGCTATGGAGCTGCAAGTATTAAAAAGATATTAAATTCTATATAATGAGAATAAAAAATATTTGAATTCACCAAAAAATTAGTAAGAATGTTAAATACTGACATGTTTAAATACAATCCAATTTTGTTCACAACCCGATGAATTACATGTTAGACTAAGGACTTTTATGACAAAAGTTTGCAAGTTTGGGGTGTTAGAACCACATGATGCCCACCAATCAGCGGCAATAATCACTAGTTAGAAATAATTGTTACCAAATATTGAGTTTTACTAGAAGTATTACTAAAAATAAACTCTCTGAATCTATAATATATTATCTGGTACCCTTGTACTTCTTTGCCTAATCACAACATGCTTGCCAAAAAGGCTCTCAACCTTTGTATAAATACTCATCTCATTAGTGATCAAATCTTGAACAATGACATCCGGGACCAACCTTTGCATGCATTCATTACTTCATGATCTTTTTGCACCAACGCGTTTGGGTAAAAGAATTATGGGTTAAGAAAGTGTAGCTGCATGCAAAGGCCAATGTAATTGAATATCCCACCTTTTGTCGATGATTTCGAAGATTTCATTATACTTCTCTTCTTTATGATCAAACGAACTTGCAATGCATTCTTTTATCCTATCCATTGCCTCATAAATGTATCACATAGGAGGTTTCTTCTCGGTACCAACCAATCTAAGCACATTGACGAGAGGACCCGAGACCTTAAGGGCAAATACAACAGCATTCCAAAATGAAGGCATCAACAAAGTTTGTGCCATTCTTTTACCTTGTGGCTCCTTTGCTCATTTTCTTAAGGTCCAATCTTCGGAGGTGACCATCTTTCTCAAATTGTTTTTTGTTGATGCATCCTAGACAAAGTCAGAAAAGCATTGGCAAAACTAGTTTTTGCAGGCTTAATCAAATTCTTCAGATTTGTATAGCGCTTCATCATGTTTAGCGACGTAGGCTGGTTGTAAATGTAGCCATGTACTGCAATACCCCTTTCAAAAGTCCTTTTTAGTCCGGGTATCTTTAAAATGTCTTTTGACATTAGGTCCAAGCAATGAGCAGCACATGGTAAGTGTTCATGCTTGGCCTCCAAAAACCTCCCTATAATGTAACAATTACAAAGACTAATTATTTTCAAGTTTTTAAATTTTAACTACAAAACAAACTATGAGTAAACAATTTTGAAGTAAGGAAGGAGAAAAGATTCTTACCCGCCAACACATTAGCTACAGCACTATCAGTGATAACTTGCACCACATTCTCTTTTCCAACTTCCTCCACAAACTTGTCTACTAATTCAAATAGCTTCTACCCATGCTTTGAATAGCTAGAAGCATCAACCGACTTAACAAACATGGTTCCTCGTGGACAATTAACTAAAAAGTTAATCAATGTCCTTCCTCTCTTATCATTCCAACCATCAGCCATTACGGAACACCCGTATTTTGTACAATCCTCTTTATGATTCTTCATCAAATTTTCAGTATGTTACACCTCTTTTTGAGTTGGGTAACCCGCACTTCATGGTAAGTTGGTGACTTCATACCGGGACCATATTGGCCAATGGCTTCAATCATTGGTCCAAAACTCTCATAATTTACTACATTAAAAGGGATACCAGCATCATACATCCACCTTGCAAATCTTCGCACTGCCCGAGCTCTCATTTTTTTTTGTAAGGGTCATTCTCATCAATTTGTGTTTGCTTCCCTTTTGCTTGGTCTCTTCGATTTTTCACCACTGATTTAGGATTGGGTGCGAAGTAAACATCCATAGGCCCTTTTCTCTTTGGCATTTTTTATTTGGATTTGGATTTGGATTTGGATGAACCTTGGTTGCTACTTGTCAACTTACGGCGTTGATTGACATTGATCTCAACAACATCATCATCTTCATCTTCCATGTCCATGTCATCAAAATCAGGCAACATGTTCATTTCTTCTTTTTGTGTCTTCTTTTTTGACATGAACTCTCTAATCTCTTCTCTTACATGAGCCGGACACTTTGGGCCAGCAGTGAAATTTCTATAACCTTCCGCGAGGTGTTGTTTTAC